GCTCTTCCCATGCAGGGGAATAAATGGGATTCCAGTACAGGGAGGGAGAAAACTCTCACAGGGGAGAGATGACAATGCTGGGATACCCTGTCCCGCCCCCTCCTCTCTGCTGGCTTCCCCTATCCCATTCCCCACACTCCGCAAGGACGGTCATATTTTTACTGCTTTATTTTACAGCTAATTAGATGTCAGGATTAGAAACAGCACGAGAACTGTGTCTTCCTTCCAGAACATCCCCATCCCTCCATTCCTTGTCCCCACAGCTCCCTGAGCAGCTGGGAGAGCTCCCAGCTTTGGACCAGGAAGTTGTATTTCCCCTCTGCAGGGTCCTGGCCATGAAGCCAAGATGTGGAAGTGTTCATAACATCCCAACAAGACCAGCCTCCCCTCTCCCTCTTCTGCAGATCAAGCTTCCCTTCTCACCTCTGACTCCTCCTGCCCTGGGAGATGGGCTAAACTGAGTTTCAGGTGAACTATCCCTCTCATGCCTGGAAACCAGCCCAAGGTGGACCCCACGGTCAGCATTTACACAACCAAGCAAAAAACTTCAATGTCACATCCCTGTGACAGCAAGAGGGTCCAGCACTCCAAGGCAGGTGAACCAGAGTCTTATTTAGACTTGTCCACCAAACCGAGTCCAGGCAGCTAGAGAGCTGTGGGTCTGACCTTGCAACATCCTCTCCCTCCAGACCAGACCTACCAGCTACAGAGTTGGTAACATCCCCAAGGCCAAGCCTCAACTCTGCTTGAGCAACAAGAGGTGCCCAGTCCATCAGTGCATGATTAGCAATGGTGTGGACCCCAAGTGACCTTCACTCTCACATTCCTTGGAAGCTCCCAGTTCCAGGACATCACCCTAGTTCTAGCCATGATCAACAGCAATGCTGAAGGGCTCCGGTTCAAGCCAGCCCCCAAGAAGCCAACTTGTTCCTGGGTCAAGGCTGTCACAGAGTACACATGCTCAAGCAAGCATGGGATCTTTAAACAGCAAACCGCAAAGCTGAACCTGTATCACAGGGCCAGTCTTCCCCAAACACTGAGTCACGGCAATTAATGGAACAAACGCATGACGGTTAGTCAGACAGGAAGACGGCCATTGCTTAAGGTACCTTTGATGGAACGGCTGGCCCTCCTTCAGGATCCACTGACCTCAGCCAGATATATGAGCTGGCCTCAGCTTATATAACTACAGAAAGTATTTATAACATCAAATATTCACAATTCCCTTGCCTTTCAACCATGTTTATGCAAATAGAGTTCACATGTAGCTACACATGAAGTTTAAAGCATCTACGTTATTACATTGCTAGGGTTTTTGAGGCAAGGCTTTCCACTGGAAAGCTACGGTTTTTTTATAGGACAGGAGTTCTTCGACTTCTTGTATTTTGTAGTTAATAAGTTTTACTTTTAAGTTCTCAGAAAATTCATTCCAGACTCCAAGGAAGAACTCTGAATTTTAGAGGAATGATGGGGATGAAAAACAAAGTTCACTGAAGACTTCCAGAAGGTGAAGACACCAACAGGAAGGTGAGGATGACCCTCTTGAAAGACATACTCAGAGGTCATGAAAGAATGGTTTCTATGGAGTTCAAAGTCCAGATGGCAGGTTAAAAACCATCTAGAGAAGAACTGATGGAGAACAGTGTGGAAACAATGTTTAGTGAGTTTTGGGATCAGAGGAAGTGTTAAAATAAAAGAAGGGAATGCAGTTGGAGAGAAAAAGTCTTGTGGTACTTCTCTTGAAAATATCTAAGAATGTCTAGTTCAGTGACCCAAACAGAGAGCAAAATCTGACCAAGAGTCTCTGGAGCCAAGAGACAAGTTAGCTTCTTGGGGAAGTTGAGTCAAACTCAAGGAACCAATTTGATTCAGTAGGAGAATCAAAGCAGAAGAGGGTCTGTACACCCGTAGGGAAAAATCAGCATGGCGTTTCTGCTCAACCGGAGCAGGCAGTTGCATGGACAGAGCAGGGCCTGTGCGCTGACTTTAAAATATTAAGGTCAGGATAAGATATGAGATTAGCAAGATTCAGCGCAAGAGGAGGAGTCTGTCTTACTGAAGACAGACCCATCTCTTGTGTAAAGACCTGTCTCCATCCCTGGTCACTGTTAGGTCCTTAAATAGAGCTCAGGGATTTTTCTCAAAATACTATTCACTCCTCCTAAGGTTTTCCTTGCTCTTTCCTCACTTCTTTACCTTCACATCTACTCAGACCCTCCAGTAGCCTCTTGTGAGAAGCTTTGTCAAAGGCCAGAAATTCATGACCTGCTCAGTTCTAAGCTTCTTCTCTGCTGGACAATAATATACATTGTGCGTGGTACAAAACACTTGATGATGTGGTGGAGCCTACTGTTTACAGAGAACAGAGTCTGTCACCCGCCCTCCTGAGCTCATTAAATCTAAAACCAAGGACAGTCTTGAACTAAAGTCTTAACTCTGTGCCAGAACCTCAAAGAAGTTCAGATCCAGCTTCATACTTCACAGCTCTGGCACCAGAGCCAGACAACACCCCTTTTCCCCTGAACTTCTGCGGTAAAACCCTGATCCAACATTTCCAGATGGTGCCACCTTTTGTGTCCCTGGCTGGACGCAAACTTTGAGACCGGAGCTAAATGCAAGCTTTTGATGAAACCAGTCACCCTGATTACCCTTCCGTACAGCTCCTTGCGAGCCATTGGGAGGGGTCTGAAGAGAACATGTGTGGCTGAAGCACTTGCCGTAGTAAGATGATTGTCAAGCTGAGCCTTGGAAGTGCTTTCTGGAAGCTGAATAAATTTCATGGAGAACTGCCTTCCTCAACAAGCCACTGTAGCAATACGCTATTGAAAAAACAGTCCTGAAACTCATTGAGGGAGGGAAGCTGGCAAAAAAGAACTTTAAAACAGGTCTTTAACAGCGGCGTAAAACTTTCAAGAGTTGAACATCACGCACTTGTAAAAGCAGAAGGTCTAGGTCTGCTGTGCAGGTGTCAGGAGTAATTATTTCCAGTTACTTATTGAGAAACACTTTAGATGTTTTGACCGCAAAGTGTAAAGGGCTTTGCCAGAAAACTCCGACATTGGAGAGGTGGAGGGAGAGGCAGGAAGAGAGAGACACGGCAGAAACAGGAGAAAACACACAATGCATTTACATTCTACTAAAGCGGTTGCTGTTTTGACTGTTTCATAGCCTGCCAGGACTGATGACCTGAGGGTCTGCCTTGAGTTTGCTGAAGCCAAAGAGAACCTTACCTCCAGCAGGTAGTAAGCTAACTTGTAAAAACACGGTTTAATTTGATAGCCATCCTCACATTTGCAGCTGGATTCGGAAATGCCCAGTGCTCATTGCTTGGTCAGCTCTGGAATCACTCAAACCTGGAGTCTCAGCTCTGAAATCACTGATGCTCCTGGGTTATCTGTTTGTCATTATGCACTGCAAAGTGAAGTTCACCATTACCAGAATCCTGGAAAATAGACTTGGAAGGTCCCAGAGAAGCCAAATACAATTCAAACCCCTCTCCAGAGCATGCACTGATGGTGAACCTGCAGCTCTCTCCATGCTCTCTCCCTCACTTTCTCACTGCCTTCACCATAAAAGCTTCTCATACCAACCTGCAAGTCCCTTGTCAGGGTGTAACCCCACCACCTCAGCCACGTGGACATGAGGAATTCTCATACCAACCTGCAAGTCCCTTGTCAGGATGTAACCCCACCACCTCAGCCATGTGGACATGAGGACCAGGCAGCTCCTTTCCTTACATCAGCAGCTGTTGGTACACCCAAAGCCTGTTTATCATGACCTTAAACATCCTCAATGTCAAGCCAAATCATGGCTGCCTCTTTTTGCCAAGTCAACCAACAGAGAGAACCAACAACCCTGAGACCCCATGAGTGGGGTAGCTTACTTACCCAGGTGACTAAGGGCCTCTTTATCCCACGGCCAAGTGGCAGCACCAGCCAACTCTTCCCTCACTGAGCTGGCGAAGTAAACATTGAGGAAGTGGGTGCTGTTCAGCTGTAGTGCCTCCTTCAGCTCCTTCACACTCATGTATGCCCTGCAAGGACAAGAGAGGGGACATAGTGAGCAAAACTTCAATGGAGCAAAGAGGAAAAGCAGGAGCCACCCATAGGTATCCTGGAAAGGATTTGGAAACCCCGTCATCAACTCTCTGAAACCAAAAGCGTTTGGTAAAGTGTGGCAAAATTCAGCAGGTTTCAACAGGATGTCCCGTGACACTACTAATTCTGCTCCAAATGGTGCAAGTTCTGCTAGTGAGGGGCTTGAGTGGGACGCAGTCATGCAAATCTGAAGAAGTTTTGCTAATTACAGTAGCTTTGTTGATAAGTTCTACTCTTAGAGAAGGTTTTCCAACAAGGACAGAAGATACCCTAGAGAATAGGATAAAAGGAGACAAAATGGGAGAAGAATGGAAATGCAGAGGTCAGTCCTGCTAGGGGAAAAGAGAAGGGGTTTGGCATCAGAAAAGTGGAATTTAAGAAGAAAAAAAAGGTGTGTTTTCCTCAAGGTGTGAGGAGAAAGAAAGGAATCCAGAACTCCAGATGGTTCCAGCAAGGGTTTTCAAGGGTTGTTCCTGATAGACTTCAGGGCAGGAATGCACGTCAAACCTAGCTCTTGGGAGCAGAGAGGGTTTGCCAGCTGGGGCCAAGAAGTTTCTTCTCCAGCTTCTCTACTCTCTCACAATGGAGAGCAGCCTGACCTTGGAGAAAAGTGCTACCTAGGTCCCCCCAGCACTGAGCTAACAGCGGGACCCTCTTCACATGAGCCCATCCCTGTGATCTGAAGCCCTTCTGAGAGGGGGTGATCTGGGATGGCTACAGGAGCCAGGACAGGAAAGAACAGGAGCTCCCAAATTAAGCTTAATGGGGAGAGGGGGACATCTCTGGAAACAGTGCCATTGAAGGGCATGTTTCATGGGGAAAGCCTCCTGACAACACTGCTGGGTGTCTCATCTCCAGAGCTGGGAATAAAGGGTTGCAGGAGTAGAAAATGTACTGGCACAGAGATATCCAGGACATCCCTTTCTAAATGGCACAGGAAGGTAATGGGCTGGAAGAGGCGGATAGACAATAGGCATTGTGCCAGTCCTACAGCAAACAGCAGAGCAGTAACACTCGTGGTTATGTCTGGATGTCCACTAAACCACCCTCACAACGTGGCATGTCTCAGCACTTGGAGTGGGAAAAAAAAAGCAGTCAAGAAATTTAGGTCTCTCTGCATGGCTGTTTCTGCACAGGTCAGGTCTATATTGTGTTCGCCAGTACACCAACAGCCCTAGCATTGATCTTTATGGAGTTTGTGTCCTCAGCTGTGTAAAATGATCAGGATCTAACTTAACAACAATAATTCCAATAATAATAGCAGTGGGATTGTAGGGCCTTGGCTGTGCTGAAAGTGCCAGATACTCTTTTAAATCAAGCACTACTGTTTCCACCATCAGTGCCATGAACCTCATGGGCTAAGACAGCATCAGGACAGGTAGCCCTAGAAGTCTTTGTCTCCAAGTCTTCAAGATCTGAGGACCCTGACCTGCAGTTTGTGAAGCTATTAATTTAAGAGATTTTAAGAAGGGAAAAAAACTCATGGAAAGGCTTCAAATACATCACTGTGGAATGATGATGGAAATGCACCATTGTGGAAATATGTCATAAGAATGACTAAACCTGCAGCATAAGGCCAACAGCAACATTAAGGTGGCAGAAAGCATTTCGCTTATTCCCATGCTTCCAGGAGCAATTGGCATCTTTGAGCTGCACGGAGAGGTTATGAAGGGTATGCAATTGTTTCTTTATGCTGGACTAGCCGTGAAGGCACACCGACAGCTTCTGTAAAAGTGGCGTCCATTAGTGCATTCCTCACCACATTGAATTATGGAAGGAAGGACAAAAAGCTGAGCATGGGCTAAGGGGAAAAAAAGCATCTTCTCATCCAAGACGTGAAGTGAGAAGGGAAACCAACAAGAGATGTGCAAATACATTCTTTGAGATGGCAAGATCCCTAGTCAAGTTGTTATACCAACAGACTTGTTTAGAGAGAGAAAGGTTGCTACAGCAAATGGAAGAGGAGGAAAAAGTGGAAAAAATAGAGGAACAGGATTCCAGAAGTAGGCTAGAGCAGAATGGTTCATGGAGCAGAGCTCAATAAACCCAAGAGCCACTTCCCTGGATCTGAAATAGCAGAGATTTTCAGAAGCCATTGCTGACTTGGGAGGCATCAGATAATCAGGAGCTGCTGACTACCTCTTCCCTACCAGTCAGCCCCAACAGGCCATGCTGGGCTGGAGACATCTCATCCACCTTCCCAGTGACAAAGTATCCCCAAAACTTCAGTCATTTTAGACAATCTTGGCTGGGCTATATGGCAGCATTTAATGGTGAGATGAGATGACCAGCTTGTCTTCACCAGGCCCCAAGATCTCCCACCACAAAGCAGCATTCCCAGAACACTTTCCCCAGCCACATCAGCTTGCAGAGAGAAAACTCTCCCAACCGGAAACAGCAAATTAGGAGAACATGATCTCTTCTCTGTGATGTCTCGCCTGAGCATCCCAGACACGCGCCACGCTGACGCCATCCCTTCAACCCAACCAAGACGGGAGCAGGCCGGGAGGAATAGATAGGGAGAAGAATAAACAAACCTGAAGGACATATTTGTGGCATGACTGGGAAGAAAGAGAAGCAAAAATTTCATAGAAATAGAGTGTAAAGGAGGGGGAGAAAGTCTCCTTCACACACCAAAGCTGCTCGGGGGACACAAGCTTAAAAATAATGTTGATTCCTGACCTATGATATCTTGGAAAAATAGCCCCAAACCCTTCCAGGCTGTCTAAATTCCGAGAGCTGACGTCAGCCCTATTCAGAGGGATATTCCCGCCGCCCCTCTTCTGGAGACATGATGTTTTTCTGGCTGTCGCCTGCCATTCCCTTGACACTAGCAACATTTTTTGTCAACCCTTAATTATAAATAACTGTAATTTCCTCCATTGAGAGATTTGGATGGTTTAGTGCTGTGTCAGGGGTAGGGGGAGCCGTTCCAGCACCGAAAGATGCTCAGATGGGTTGGATGAAGGAGGAAAGACCCCAATTTCACCCACTACGGCACGGAAAGCACAAATATCCTGTCAGCATCCCCAAAGACATGAGCAAGACCAAAACAACTCTAGAATGGGCAACTCTGATTCCCCTCAATCCACATTTCCCACTGGCATCCTTAGCTTAGACAAGGAGCATGTAACTGGCGTCTCTGCCTGTCACTTACTGCCAAGGTCATGCTCTCCCTCTTCTTCATCACTTCTGTGATTTTCCCAGGGGGGAAGGCAGAGCAGCCTTTGGTCTCCACAAACAGCCCAGATGACAACCTTCTCCTTTGCTCCCCAAATAGCTTCCCAATTCCTACAAGACCAGACCATTCCAAACTAGATGGTATTTACAGCAGGGCGGGCATTGCACGCCAACACACAAACACAAAGAAGGTCAGAAGGACACACGAAAGCCCAAATATCAGCTGAGGAGCAAAGAAAAACAATCCCAAAGAACAGGGCAGAGGATAGAAGAGAAACAGAGAAGGGCCATCAGGTTTGCAAGATTCAAAACATTTGTTTTTTTTCCAAAACTCATTGGTGAGCAGCTAGCTGCATGGTAATACCACCTTGACCTAGGGAGTATTTGCACCCCCGGGAGAGCACAGCTTGCAAGAAGAGTATATGCAACGTAGAGATTATGGACAGAAGGGCTATGGACTGCCATTATTAGAAATGAGCGTGGGCACAAACATCATCTGACATGATGGTATTTGAGGAAATGAGTCCAGATCTGAGGGCGTCCCTCATGACAAGTGCTCACCTGTGATACTGTTGACTTAAAGTTCTGCTGAATGACACTAACTGACCATCTGACTCCAAGGCAGGCTTAGGCATGACACTTCATACTGTTTTACTTGTGGGACTCATCGCTGGCAGAAAGCAAGATGGGGATGAGGTAGCAAGGTGGAGCCACACTGGTGTTTGTGTGGTCCTGGTGCTGGGTGAGGAGCACGTGGCTCTGTAGGAGACATAGTGATGTGCTGTCATTGTGTGACATTTTTTGCCATCAAAAAAAAAGGAAAGGAAGATGAAGTCCAGCAGCTCCAGTGATTGCATCAACATAGACTAGTGGAATCAGAGACTCATAACTGCAGATGGAGAGGACCCTCCACAGGTCATCTAGTCTGACTCCCTTGTTCAAAACAAGTCTAATTAAATTAGGTTGCTCAAGGCCATGTCCCACTGAGACCTAAACAGCTCTGAAGACGCAGGTTTAAAAATTTCTCTTGGCAACCTATTCCAGCATTTAACCACCCTCATGATAAAAAAATAAAAAATTCTAATATCTAATCCAAATTTCTCATGTTCCAACTTGTGTCCATTGCTTCCTATCCTATCACTATGCACCTCTTCTCAGAGTCCTGCTCCATCTTCTCTGTGTCACCCCATCACATCAAATGGAAAAGCCATCAAATGACTACAGCTTTGCATGGAAAACTATTACTGCACTAGATCTTACCACATTAAGATCTAAAGACCCAAAGCTGCCTTTCTAATCAGTTGGGAAAAAAAAAGAAAAAAAAATCACACTCCACCCACAACCCCAGGCCTCCCTGGAGAACATTCATATGTCTTTCTCATGCTTTTTCCTTGGACAATTTTATGCTAGCCCATGGGGCAGACAGCATCTTTCTACTGATGGATGCAAGTCACACTCTGCGCTGGGTTGGTCAAAAACAACAACTTGACATACCCTGAAGAGACAGAGCTGTTGCTGCTTTTCCAGGCAGGAAAAAAACAATGGGACCACTGCTGGTGCACAGGTGGGAGAGAGGAGAGGATATGGTAATCTATTGGGCAGTAGAACGGACAATCAAGCTGTAACACAAGCCTGCTGTGATTTAAGGTATGAGAAGAGCAGCAGGAGCAGCACTTTTTAGCGACAGACACATCATAACAGGAAACCTTGGGGCCATGGAACTGGCCATTACTGCTGAAAGGCAAAAGGTGGCACT